TTTCTTGTGGTGTCTGAATTCATCCTGTATCATTTAACACAAAAGTGCTTGTGCATGGCTCATCCTAATGTTGATCTTGTTCAAAGGGTTCATTTACTTTTCCAAAAAGATTTTTAACACAGTCTAAAAACCAATTTAGCCAGATTACTGGGTTTAAGAAGATTTATCTCAAAGATTTCAGTGAAACATACTTCTAAGCATGAATGCCAGGAATCACAGCTTCAAATGCACTTATTCAAAGTTCAGCTGATTTTGATCCAAATTCTTATCTTTTTGATGAAACAATCTTTTACATAATATTCAACTCTGAAGCAGCTGGTTCTGCCTGTTTTCAAAAAAAGCTGCCTGTGGAAAGTGTTGACTGGCTGGCCATTGTGACAATCACAAAGCCACTTTAAAAAGGAAGCACATGCCAGGAATTTCTCTCTCTTCTCTCTCTCATTTTAAAAGAAGCCTGCCTGGATCAGTTCTGGATTCAGAGTCAGACACATGTATCATTACTTAACTAAATACAGGGCAAGCAGAGCTCATCCCAAACCAGAAAAAAAAATGGCTCCAATAGGTATGTACACAGGTACACCTGTACATACTCTTAATTTACTTACAAGTTGTGTTCAGTACAAAGAATTATTAGATAACAGCATAAGAACATAAGAGAAGCCAATGTTGGATCAGGCCAATGGCCCATCCAGTCCAACACTCTGTCACACAGTGGCCAAAAATACCAGCAAATAAGCTAATATCAGCTCTTATGTATGGATAAGCTTACCTTCTCTTTTATGCTTCCCAGTATGATTTGGAGGAGCAAAAAAATGGAAGAAACGCATACAATATTTGATAGTACTGCTATGTAAAAACTTTTGCAATGAAAGGAAAGTCTGTCCATACAATGAGATGATGAGGACATTTCCAATTTAATGGCTTCTCATGCTGGGGGGGTGGGGGCTCTGAAATACATACCAAACCAAGCAAACAAATCACAGGTATTGTGGAATCTGTCAGTCTACCTGGTCCTAGTGAAAGCAATGAGAAGGAATGGGACAAGTCCCGTTGAATAAAATGGGATTTACTTCTGAGTAGACCTGCTTAGGACTGGTAGGCAGCAGTGCAGAAAATGGAGGTCTACACACTGATGTGAGTGGGAAAGGTTGACAGGCTTACAACAGTACGATTTGTTGAGTTTCCCCCCCCCAAAAAAAAGGTTCCAGAGAGTGTGGAACACCAAATCCCCCTTTTGACACATTCTAACCCCTTCCCTTCATGCCAATGAATAACAAAGTTTAAGTCCCTTTGATATTTGATCTCTGATGACTTATTCACCTCTACCCCTTTCCCTAGCAGTACAAATTAGGTGCATGAATGTTACATAGGAAGCTCTTGACTGAGCGTAGAGTTTGTGATACAGACGTAAAGAAAGGGGTTGTCTGAGTCAGACATACTGGGCTCACGCCCTTTTAGGGCTTTATACAGCCAACATCTTGAATAGCCTCAGAAGGCTCTTGGGAGCAAAAAGTGTGCTGATGAGGTGGTTTAAGTCACTCTTGATCACTCAGCTCCATAGTGTCCTGAGCCCCTGGAACAGAGCAGTGTCATAGAGGGCTCATTCTAGTCAGCTAGTCTCATAGTTAAGAATTGATGTATTTGAAATGAATCTCCCAATTCATGGAACTCAAGAAGTCAGACTTATGTCGTTAAGACCCAAAGCAAATGGAAAGAATCATAGCTACAGTGGAATTAGTGAAATATGTTCCTAACAGTCACCAAAATCCAGAGCTTTTACCACCTTTCCCTTGCAACAGCTCCCTCATAAATCCCTTCCTGGTGATTAAAATTTCTGAGCAGAGAGGCACCTATTTTATGACACTATGAGTGGGTGTGTAATCAAAAGCACAGGGTTGGGGGCCTATTAACAGGGGGTCTCCAGAACCTAGAGCCAACTTGGACCAAGTAGAGGATGCTGTTGAAACTTGTACAAAAGGGTGTCTGATGGTCTGTAGAAAGCAAAGTGCCCATGGATTTTTTTACCACACTCACTAGATCTTATTTGTTCAGATTTAGGATCAGCACAATGTCCTAATCTTTATTATACTATGCAGATAAAGGAGGAATCAGTATGGTAGTTCTACAGACAGGCAAAGCATAAAGAGAACAAACTAGAGATCTCTGAATCAGTTAGGTTGGTGCTAGTAAAGTCATTAGGGCTAAAGCAATGTTTCCAAACCTGTGGGTCAGGACCCAAAAGTGGGTCGCAGCCCATCCTTTCCTAATGACCCTTTCTATCCTTATCTTTTTTCCTCCTGGCCAGCTTCTCACATCCTCATCTCCCCTCCTTCTTTGTGACAAGAATGGGGGGGGGTCATCAGGCAACTGAGAGCCAATGTGGCGTAGCAGTTATGAGCCAGAGGACTTGAATCTGGAGAACCACTCCTCAACATGAAGCTTGTAGGGTGACCTTAGGCCAGAACTCTCTCAGCCCCTCCTACCTCCCAGAGAATGTGATTGTAAGCTGCTTTGAGACTTCTTACGGAAGAGAAAACTGGGGTATAAAAACCTACTCTTCTTCTAGTAACTTTGTACCTGAAAGAAGGGGAGACAGACTGGAAAGTAGGTGGGAGCTGTTCAGCATACCATGGAAAAACTTGAGGACAGAATGAGGCATGTATAAGCATGGGTTCTGTCTTGGTGCTGCTCCTTAAGCCACCCAAAGTCTTGCCCAGCCCCCTGCATTGCTTCACTGCCCTCTACCTGCTGTGGAAGATATACTGCACCAAGCCCCTTGCCGCCAAGTTCTTCACCGCCATCTGCCATCTTCACATATCTCCTCAACCCAGCGCCCCCCAAGCACACCTCCTCAAACTCTGGCTCTTGCCCAGAAGAAGAAGAGGAGGGGGAGGAGATTGGATTTATACCCCGACCTTCACTACCCAAAGGTGTCTCAGAGCGGCTTACAACCTCCTTTCCCTTCCCCTCCCCACAACAGATACCCTGTGAGGTAGGTGGGGCTGAGAGAGCTCTTGACAGAAACTGCTCTTTTTCAAGAACAGCTCTTATCAGAACTATGGCTTGCCCAAGGTCATCCAGCCAGGTGCAAGTGGAGTGGGGAATCAAACCCGGTTCTCCCAGATTAGAGTCTGCACACTTAACCACTACACCATACTGGCAGAAGAAGAGATGAACTCCCACTTGCTTGGGTTTCCAATGGGGGCAGCTGCACCCTTTGTGTGATGGTTGCTGGTTCCTCAAAAACATCTGGTTGGGCACACTAGAAAACAGACTGCTGGAATAGATGAGTGCCAAAGTCATAGTTTGCCCAGGGCCCCCAAAAAACTTGGGCCAACCCTGGATGGGTCACCATTGCAAAAATATCGGTAGCCACTGGGCTAGAGCCAATGCTCCCGCTAAGCTGTGGAGTCTTGTGAGCAAAAATTCTACTTTGTGAGCTACTGGCATTAAAGTTGCAAGCCAGCAATTTGACTACTGCATAAATGAGTTTGCTCTGGAGCCGTCCTTCCTGAGCTAAGACAAAAATGTGTGAGCTGGAGGCTAAAAAACTATGAGCTAGCTCACACTAACTCACCTTAGAGGGAACACTGGCTAGAGCATACTGTCTTCGCTTTAGCAAGCCAGCATGGTATAGCGATTAAGAGCGGCAGACTCTAATCTGGAGAACCAGGTTTGATTCCCCACTCCTCCACAGGAATTGTGCTGGGTGACCTTGGGGCAGTCTCAGGTCTCTCAGAATTCTCTCAGCCCCACCTTCCTCACAAGGTGCCTGCTATGGAGAGAGGAAGGGGAAGGAGATTGTAAGCAATTCTGAGATTGCTTAAGGTAGAGAAATCAGGGTATAAAAACATTATCTTCTTCTTGCTGAAGATGTGGTAGATAATGTACTCATGGAGGAGCAAGAAAGTGAATCTTGAGGGCCAGTTCACATTTGCATTAACTCTGAGAGCCAGCTTGGTGTAGTGGTTAAGTGTGCGGGCTCTAATCTGGGAGAACCGGGTTTGATTCCCCACTCCTCCACTTGCACCTGGCTGGATGACCTTGGGCAAGCCATAGTTCTGTCAGAGCTGTTCTCTCAAGGACAGTTCTGAAAAGAGCTCTCTCAGCCTCACCTACCTCACAGGGTGTTTGTTGTGGGGAGGGGAAGGGAAAGGAGTTTGTAAGCTGCTCTGAGACTCTGAGTGAAGGGCAGGGTATAAATCCAGTCTCTTCTTCATTGGACATGTCAACACTTGTTGACTTGCAGATAAGTCTGCATTAAAAATATTTTGTTTAAAGTGATGTGGTGAAGTAATGTGGAAGTTGCTACAGTCAAAATGGCATATACCTTTTTAAGGAACACCAAATTTTCTCTTTTGTCACAACTTTGTCCACTCCTCCCACCACAGGGAATAACAAAAAAATTACGGACAGCCCCGTTTGTTTTTGATCTATGATGACTCATTCATCTTGACTCTCCCTTCAGTCCCCAAATGATTAAGGTGCATGTGTGAGACCTGACCCAGTCAGGTTTACACCAGAGGGTACTCGGGTCAGCTTAACTCGTGACCCTCCCTTGGGGGACCCAGCGGCGAGTGAGGTGTGAGTATGGCGGCGAGGTACGCTTCTCTCTCCCTCCCTCTCCAGAGACTCATGGTGAAGCGAAATCAAAGAGACGGTTGGCCTGACCTCGCGCCGGTTCCTGGCAGTTGGGGCCACCCCCACCGGACCGTTGGCCGTTGAACCGGACCTCGTGCGTCCGCCCGGGTTGCTGGACGGACGGGGGGGGGAGGCAGAAGCGGGCCAGAGGGAATCCCCGCTCGCTCTCCTTTTCCCCTCTCTCGCGGCGTGTCTTTTGTGTTTGTACACACAGAGGCGGCCGCGGGAAGCCTGGAGGAGGCAGGGAGGGAGGTGCGTGGGCGTGGTCTAGCTTTCCCTCCATTGTGCGCCATTGGCTGCGGGGCGAGGCGGAGGCGTGACCTGGGCGGGCGCGAGGCGTAGCTAAGCAGCGGCGACGGCCCTCACGAGTCAGCCATCTTTCAATTGTGCTCTCAGCCGCCGTCGCTGCCGCCCGCAGTCGCTTTAGCGCCGCCTTGCTCTTCCTTGCCTGCTCGGCAGCCGCGCTCAGCCCAAGCGGACGGGGGTAAGTCGCCAGCCTTTCCGCCAGGGCTCCCCGCGCCCCCCAACCCTGCCGGGGATCACTCCGGGCTGCTCTCGGAGCGCCCCTGCAAACTTCTGGGGCCCAGAAATGGGTCCGGGGGGGCAGAGGAAGCCCTCCCCCCCCCCTTTCCCAGCACAGCCAAGGAGCTCGGGCTGCTCTCGCTCAGCCACCCCAGCCCCACTTTGCACGGTTGTTGCCCCCCACTGCTGCCTTCGCCCCCACCCCGGACCCTCACCATCCGTCTCCCCAGCCCCTCGCCGACCCCCTCAGCCCATCATCGCCCTAGATCAGGGCTGGGAAGCGGCTGGAAACTAGAGGCAGTTGCCAGCCCCGGGAAACTCTCCTGCCTGCCTCTGCTCCCCACAGTTGTTGCTCAGCTTCACCATCTTGTCTCTTTTCTCTGGTCACCGACCATATTTTTTCCTATTGCATAAAAACAATAAAAAGGGAAGAAATGTGCCTCCGAAACGGTCGAAACCCGGTTAGATTTGGGGGGGTTCAGAGTACAAACTTTTCCTCTATCCCGCAGCCGGTCGTCTCCTCTGCCGTTTGTCTCTTCTGGGGGATTTTTTGGTATTATTTGTTGCTGTTTTATTATTTTTCCTCCCTCCTCCTCTCTGCCTCCCTGCAAAGAGACTAGGGCTGCAATTCGTGATTGTTTCCATTTTGTTGGGGATGAGTTTGCCAGTGCGAGGCGCTTGGGAGCCGGGCTGCCTGCTGGAATGGCAATGGCACGGGCAGCACCGGAAAAACTAGCCCCCCAAAAGTTCGCGGCTTTCTTGCATTTAAAGCCTGACTATTCACCCCCACCCCTTCGTTTGTAGAATCAAATGCGATTTCTCCGCGGCTTCCGTTTTTGTCTGCCTCTGAGGGCACCGCGCAGCTCGTGGAAGGGGGGCTCCGTGGCAGGAGAGCCCTCGAGGACTTTTCGTCCGTTCCCCGCACCCTTCGATCTCGCTCGTTCTGAAAGGGGTTTCTTTTTCTCCGTTTTGCTCAGTGTGGGCTTATAGATCAGACGTACGTCCCCCCGGCGTGTTCGGTAATTATTGGTACTTTTGCGCCGAGGGGGGGGGGGTGAGAGCCGATTCTTGCATGTTGTGTTGGAATCGTCCTCTAGTCTTGGCTGCTGCATCGTTCCAATTGTTAAGCGCTGGGCAAAGGCTGTATTTTAGTAATATACTAAAACCGCCGACATTTATTTTCGAGTTAAATAAATGAGAACGATGGCTCCACCGTCCATTTTATCATCCAATCTAGTACTTGGAAGGCTTTCTTGATGTGGCAAGCTGCTAGCTAGAATCTCGCAGAGTCAGAGTGGCTGTTATGCCTGAAACCGGAGGTGTGGATCTGCAACCTTTTTAATTGCTTACGGTTTTGGTGATTTTTTAAACATACGATGTTTTTAAGGTTTTTTGGGTTTTTTAAACTGCGTTTTCGGACAATGCTTTCGAGTGGCTGCCTTGTTACGGTACAGTGATCGCGTGGGTGATTTCTTGCCGATAGGTGTAAGGAAGAGAAGTTCGCGGGAATATGGCTCGTACCAAGCAAACTGCCCGTAAATCCACTGGTGGGAAGGCGCCCAGGAAGCAACTCGCAACAAAAGCCGCTCGCAAGAGTGCGCCCTCTACTGGTGGGGTCAAGAAACCTCATCGCTACAGGTATAGAAATGACCGGGAACAAAGCGAAGTGATGCAATAACCTCTTAACAATGCGGAAATGTTTATCTGAGCCGAACTTTCTGCTTTAAAGAAATATTTATGCTTTTCTTTCTTTTTTCTTTAATTCATGGATATTTTTGTAAGAGCTCGCTATTTCTTTATCTGACTTGAAACAATTCCAGACAACCTATATCGTATTTTATGTTGAATATTTCCAGAAAGATATAAAGTTGCTTATAATAATAGACGATTCTATTGATTAAATTGGTTTCTTTTAAAAATAAAAATCTTAATATATATTTGAAAAAAATAAATTCATTTTGAATTGCACTTAGAGTGTGCTGATAATGACTGCTAGATAACTAGAGCACTGTACCGATGCTTGTTGTTTCTAACTTGTACAAGTCTGATAATTTTGATTTATTTAAATTAGTTTAGCGCCGAAGTTGTTACTGTAAAACCAGATGGTGTGATTCATACAATATACCACTAGGGGGCAATAGTTGCATGCAGATAAGCAGGTAAATAAGGAGCTTTACACTTCTTTTACATAATTTTAAAAAACATTTAAGAGGGTAGACTGCAACTGACAGAACCAGTTGCAAGCTATCATGCCATGTCTACTGAAAACCTTTGTGGTTGATAATGTCAGAACAGAAGGAATGGCTACCACTTATCACCTTCCACAATATTTACACTTCTCAAAAGGGGAAGGGAAGCAAAACGAGGATTAATTATTAGACCCTTGCATTGTTTTTCTTCTCATTCTGCTTTTAATGTCTTTGTTCCCCTTCAATTGGAAGCATCTCCACATTAGGCCATTGCGTCATTTTGTAGAAGCTGGGTTGTTTACAGAATGTACTTATATGCTTGTGTCTTTATAGAAAAATGAAGAAAACTTTTGGGTTGCCTGAAATTTGGTATACCCGATTTTTTTCAGACTGATGGCAAAATCTTGTTAATACTTTGTTTGTTTAAAGGCCAGGTACTGTGGCTCTTCGTGAAATCAGGCGTTATCAGAAGTCGACTGAACTTCTGATCCGCAAACTTCCTTTCCAGCGCCTGGTGCGTGAAATTGCTCAGGACTTCAAAACAGATCTGCGTTTCCAGAGCGCAGCTATTGGTGCTTTGCAGGTATGTTGTTATTTTAGGTTGCCTTTAAAAAAAAAAAAGATTCTACCCCCCTCACCAATGATAACAGTTCTTAAGTTGTTTGACCATACAAATGATCAAGTGTTTCATGCTAGTAACTGTTGCTTTTCACCAAAATTTTTATATTGGTTGTGTTGAAGTATGCTCTTTCTTTTTGTGAGTGATTTAGTTCTAAGCAATCTTTTAAAAAGCTTTGGGTGGGGGAATATACTGAAACTTTCTTATGAAAGTCATTTAGCTAGCTCTTTAAAATACAGGCACAATTTACTACTGTCTTAGAGATGACATGGGGATGTAGATTTATTAACAGAAATGACGTGCAGAGCACTTTCTAGAGTGCAGCCATTGACAGTACTATGCTGTTGGTACGTGAGAGAGAGTGTGATTGGTTACTTCTATACACTCATGTAATTGGTTGAGCTGTTTCTATGGTCAGTCAAAATTTCATATGATTGGTGGTTTTCAGAAGTGAGCACCCATGTATCTGTAGGTGAGCTGATAAGTGCTAGCATTTAATTTGTTCAAGTAATTAGATTCATAAAATGAGACTTTTTTATCTTGTAAACTGAAATATAGGGCCTCACAGTAGTTATCTGCTGAAGAATCTTCATTCTAGGTTAACCCATTATTTTATTCTTGCATCTTTCAAAATGCATTCTTGTGTTTTTTACTGAAACACAAGGTACACAACATTAATTCAGTCCCCTTCTAAGTGGGGAGAGAGACTTTTTAGGTGATGCATTGCTTCTTTGCTAAGAAGTACCCTTCCTCTCTTCCTGAATGTCACTAGGAAGGGATTATGCACATTTCTGTTGTGTGACATTCGTGTAATACCTAAACATCTTTTAACTGGTCTAAACTGTTAAAGAGAGAATGCTGGATTTGGCCTTTTCCAGCAAGTCAAGTTTTAGTATCAAATAAAATGCAAGACTTCAATATTTGAGGTGGTGAACAAGTATGAGGGGGACTTTGTGCTTTATAATAGTTTAAGCAACGTTCATTAAATTATCAGGGTATAGCCAGAAAACTTTGGTTGGTGGGGCATTGAGAAATCCTGTGGGGCACTTGCTCATCCTTGGGCAAGCCGTAGTTCTGATAAGAGCTGTTCTTGAAAAAGAGCAGTTTCTGTCAAGAGCTCTCTCAGCCCCACCTACCTCACAGGGTGTCTGTTGTGGGGAGGGGAAGGGAAAGGAGTTTGTAAGCCGCTCTTTGGGTAGTGAAGGGCGGGGTATAAATCCAATCTCTTCTTCTTCTTCTTCTTCATCCTTCCAAATGAAATGCTCAATCAGCAAGGTTTTTTTTAAAGCAACTAACGGAAGAAACATCTCTCATATGACACTTACTTATACAAAACTTACAGAAAACGACACCACAGACAATACTGTGCAAGAAACTTGAAGGGGGAGGGGAGATTCAACAGAGATGGGATTTATTAATTAATTTATTTTTTGGCCAGGGATGGATTTCTGGAAAAGCAAACCTGCCTGCCTGCTTAAGGAACAAAGCGTTCCAAAAGGGGGGTTGAAGGCGAATTCCAAATGGCCCAAAAGACAAGAGGCTGTGGCCCTTTTCCACAAATGCCTCCTTCCCAAGCCCCATCCCCATTGCCTGGCCCAGTAGAAATCCCCCCAGCAGCTGCTGCTGCCACCCACACAGCTGGATGAGTGACGGACATGGCAGGCAGGACTTGCTGCAGTCATGTGATGCCAGCACATGACTGGGTCACATGACTGTGGTGAGGTCTGCCTCCCTCATCTGTCCACTCGCTCGGCCTGCGAGAAGGAGAGTCGGTGTGATTAATACTTGGCGAGGCAGCTAACAAGCATTCCAGCTGCGCAGTCTCTGCCTCCATGCCCATTGCTGGGCCAGCAGGTAAGGTCACAGCCAGGGGCAACAGGAGTTGTGGGGCCTGCACCATGAGTGATGGGGCACGGGCCCCTAAGTGCCCCACCGTGGCTACGCGCCTGATTCAATATCTTCTTTATTTGTGGTGATTCCTGTAAGTTGCTGTTGTGTCAAGTGTTACATGTGAAATATTACTATATGATGATACATGGAAGTCTCTGGGCAGGAGCAAAAGCCATAAAGTATGTTATCCTTTCACATGTGATGCTTCTCTGCACAAGAGTGACTTGCATGTGAATGCTATTGAAAAGTTCAACACTGATAAGCATCCCTTGGTTTCACAGCTATACTTGGGAAGGCTGTTCTTTACACTAGTCATATGGCTGCCCTGTATTTGGAGTGGAGTCGCCTGTTTCACCTGTTGTGCTGTTTTCACAGCAATGGCCAGAAAGGGCTATCTAGCATACCTGTCATGGGATTCAAGCTCTGCCTGTTTTGTCTGATACAGTGCTATCGCTGCCTGCCTTAAGTGGACAGAGCTTTAAGCAGGAAGTGCTCACAGCTTCAAAAAGAAAAAGACGAATCGTAGAATCATAGAGTTGGGAGGGACCTTCCCCCCACGCCCCCAGTGACCGCTATTCCATGCCCAGACGATGACAAAAAAACCGCCAGGATTTCCACCCTAAATGGCTTGGAGGAGAATTGCTTCCTGACCCCACAGTTGTGAACAGCATTTCCCTGGATGTGTAAGAAAGGGCCACAAGAACTAAGCAGTGATGCAACCCTTCCTCTCATGATCTGCTTATGTTCACAGAATCAGCATTGCTGTCAGATGGCCCTCTAGCCTTTGTTTGCAAACCTCCAAAGGAGGAGAGTTCACCATCTTCCGAGGAAGCCTGTTCTACTAAGGAACTGCTCTGTCAGGAAGTTCTTCCTAATGTTTAGCTGAAAGCTCTTCTGATTTAATTTAAACCTGCTGATTCTGGTCCTTCTGGGGGAACAGAACAATTCTGTACCATCTTCTATATGATAGCCCTTCAAATACTTGAAGAGTCAACATTTAAAGAGTGTAGGAAGCACATAATAAAGGTGCCAAAGGGAAACCCAATATACAGTTCTGTAGGATGTGTGTAGATTCTTGACCAGGACTACACTAGACAGTGATGAACTTCAGCAGGCCTAAATTTGCAAATAAGTAACATAGGCTGCCTGCAGTGTATTGTGACCTGCCCAGTGTCTGACAACACATTGTAGCTCCAGGCAAATTGCAAAACCCAGTAGATTGAAGGGGTCCCTGTTGAGTTGCTGGCTATTGCTGGTGGGTGGCTGCCTTGGGCTTTGGCTACAACAGCTGTGTAGGCCTGTAGTAGAGGCAGTATCCAAATTACTATGGCTCTGCCTGCCTCTCACAAAATGGTGGATTATTTTCTTCAACCATTGGGAAGACTGACCTGTTGTTAAATTAGTGTGCAACATTATGTGCAGACTTCAAAAACAATGCCCTAATGTTAGGCACTATAGCGTTGGAAAGTTGTGTTTATTTTTAGCAGTGAAAGTTGTGTTTATTTTTAAATTGAAAGGTAGATATAAATGTTCTAATAAATAAAAACGTCATAACCCTAAAGTAGTAAAGTTGGAAGGGACCTAAAGATTATATTATCCAACTACCTGTACTGATGTAGGTCCCACCTTACCCAGATATAGTTTTTCTAGAAGACAGTTATCTGAATATCCCAGTTTTAGTTTGCGAGAAGCAGAGAACAAGAAGGACTAAGATTTGTTATGCTAGCACTGTCTGTAAGCAGTGTTCCCTCTAAGCTGAGTTAGGGTGAGCTAGCTCACCATTTTTAGCCTCCGGCTCACACACTATTGTCTTGGCTCAGGAAGGAGGGCTCCAAAGCAAACTGATTTACGCAGTAGCCAAATCACCGGCTCACAACTTTTAATGCCAGTAGCTCACAAAGTAGAATTTCTGCTCACAGGACTCCACAACTTAGAGGGAACATTGTCTGTAAGTAGGGTTGCCAAGTGTGAATTCAGCCGCAGCGAGGGACTCCCGGCTGGAGTGTGCATGCACCGCATTCACGTCGCCCAGAAGTGACGCGGGCACGCGGGGGGCGGGGCCATGACCATCCGAGGGAAAACTATAGAGTTTTCCCTTGGATTACTGTGGCCCCGCCCCCGGCGTGCCCGCGTCACTTCCAGGCAACGTGCACGTTGGGGTGGAGTCCCCCCCGGGGCCCAATCCACCAGCGGCGGGGAACGGGCCTCTGGGGAGACTTGGCAAGCCTATCTGTAAGGTACTGTTTGTAAGGCTAAGGGACCACAAATAATTATCCTTCAGTCCTCTGAAGGCTTTTAATTGTAATTTCAGTTGTAGAGTAGGTCTGTCACAGAATTCTCTTGAAATGGGTCAACTTGCAATGCATTACCTTGGCCATCTTACATAGTGGATCATGATATAACAGTGGCTTGTGAGAAAATTGATGGGCTGTCTGGAGAAAGGTCTGGGGTGGGGGGAACAAAGGAGAAACATCTAAGGAATTCACTTAGGGTGTGGAACTAGTAAATGGATCCCAGGAAATAAATGTTCTGTAGAGTTTGTTTGTAAAAAACACAGGAGATTTGGTACACAGACGAGTTTTCTGAAGCCAGTGTTGTACGTTACCTGTTATGGAGTAAATTAAAGAAGCCTGCCACTTATGAGAGGAAAAACCTGCATATCTGTTCAGAAGAAAGGTGTAACAAAATTAAAATGTTTGTATTTGCTTGAGGATTTTGGTGCTTTATTTTTTAAAACATCTGAATTCTTCTCTTCAATAGGAGGCAAGTGAGGCCTACCTGGTTGGCCTGTTTGAAGACACCAATCTGTGTGCTATCCACGCCAAACGTGTTACAATCATGCCAAAAGATATCCAGCTAGCACGCCGCATACGTGGAGAGCGTGCTTAAACTCTACTAAGATGGATTTGCCATTTTCAAAACAAATAAAATCTCTTCTTCCTGTTATTGGTAGTAATGAACGTTAGATATTTTTTTCCATGGGGTTAAAAGGTACCTAAGTATATGGTTGCAAACAGAAAAATAGGGGACAGAATCGGGTATTGGCAAGCTCTTTTTTCATTTTCATTTGTGTGTGGATTTTTAATATAAACGTGGGGACATATAAAGCATTATTGCTATCAAAAACCATTTCAGTGAACAAGTTTCAGCAGTTCAACTTTATAACAACTATAAATATGCCAGTCAAACTTTTCTGGACAATGCCAGCATTTGGATTTTTTTAAAAAACAAAATAAGTAAATTTCTTATTGATGGCAACTATATGGTGTCTAACATTTTTATCATACAGTAGATTCCACCCATTCACTATACTTTTCTAACTAAGTTGTTCTTCATGCAAGTACATGTTTTTAATGTTGTCTGTCTTCTGTGCTGTTCCTGTAAGTTTGCTATTAAAATACAAGAAATAACATTTGCTTATTGTGTTAATTTTTAACCCTGTCATTTTGACTGCTAGTTACATAAGTCTGTGCCAAAATGAAATTTAATACACTGCATCTAATATACTTAGTCTACACTGAAAACACTTAGGGCTGTGTGCTATCATGGTTCAATTGTGAATTACGAACGGGATCAGAAATCTTGTGCAGGAATATAACTCATGTGGGTAGAAATCACTCACTATGGGCTGCCTTTTTCCCATGGTACTAGCCTTTGAAGCAGGCAGGGCTACATGTGTTAGAGGTGCTATGTGTATATTGCAGCACTACTGCAGAGGGTGCCATATTGCACAGATACTGCCATTTCTGTGATAGCAGCAGTATCCAGGCTAATTCAGCTGCTTGTGGTTTACAAGTGGCATGGGCTGTAGAAATTCAAGACTTTGTGGATTTCTCTCATCATTCAAAATACAGAAACTGGTGATTATGGCCACTGGTTCATATAACTAATTTTCTGTCTTCCCTTTTAACCCCTCCCCTGGGCAGGGTGTGTGTGTTCCCGGGCTCCAGAAACAGAAGAAGCCATTTACTGTGGCTGCAAGAATCAACCATTATGATCAGGTGTTGGCTCCACCACTGTATTCTTACCTCTAGCTGCTTCCAGCAATTATCCAGAATAGGTAATACATGTTGCCATGTATGTTTTACCACTTCACAGGGTCATCTCTCCCTGTGCCCTCCCCCAGCAATAGTTAATGGGCAATTTTGCAGAAATAAGCAAGAGTCAACCCACTGGGTTAGATGGGATGAATGCTGTGAAAAAGGTAAGATGTGCACAGTCCTTTAAATGATCAGTGGTTGCTTTATACTCAAAAGGACTTCTATATGGTTGGAACTCATACAGTTCCTTACAGTTATGAGTAGAGTTAATCTTGCAAAATGCGGCTTCCCCACCTTTTAGAAAAGCTGCTACTCTTAAGGGGATCCTCTGAGATGGTACTGATAACAGCACAGGCAACTTTCTCCACCACTTTTTGGTTCATTTTTAGAGTTTGCTTTTCCAGTTAAATATTGAGGTATAATCTTTTAAAATCAATGAATTATTTATTCAGCGTGCTGAATTCAGTGATCCAACATGGTATGTTCATAGCAGACTGTCCTCACTGTCCTGAATAGTTGATCACTGAGGGGGGAAATGCTGTCTATCCACAGACCTGGCTATGCCTAAATCCAACAGCATCCATAATTAGCAAAGATAAAGAGTCTAAATTCATTCTGCAGCTAGTGCAGAATGCAGCAGCCAGGCTGTTGATTGGTCTTTCCAGGCGAGACCATATACAGCCTGTGCTGCAGGCACTGCACTGGCTGCCAATAGCGTACCAGATTCGCTTCAAAGTGCTGGTTCTTACCTTTAAAGCCCTACATGGCCAGGGTCCGGCTTACCTAAGGGACTGCCTTTCCCCATATGTTCCCCCAAGGGCACTACGGTCAGAGGCTCAACATCTAGTAGCCCCAGGGACATCAAACTGGCTGCGACCAGGGCCAAGGCCTTTTCGGTGGCGGCTCCTACCTGGTGGAATGAGCTCCTGGAGGAGATCCAGGCCCTGCGGGACCTAGTGCAGTTCCACAGGGCCTGTTAGACGGAGTTCTTCCGCCAGGCTTTTGAGTAGGAGCCGCCGCCATGATTTGGGTGGGAACCATTGGGGTGCAAGGCGGCCCTGGGACGAAGATTGGATGGCAGTACTTCTATGAAACTTATGCTGTTGTTCTGAGCTTAAATTTTTACCAGAATCCATCTTGAAATTGAGGACAGTAGTAACATCTAGAGCACAGGCACTTTAGTGCAGTATTGGATTGTTTTATCTTGTGTTTTAATCATGGCCTGGTGCCTAATTTGTTAGCTGCTCTGAGCCCGTTTGGGGAGAGCAGGATGTAAATCGAATTATAAATAAAGGTAGGATTTGCTTTGGGTATTTTGCCCAAATTTATTTTAGCTCTATCCCATATCAAAGACATTGCCATAGATGAAAAGCAAGATTTTCAAAATAGGATCAGAGAACACTCCAGGAAATTTCTGCTATTAAGACAACTCGAGTTGGTTTGGGATGTTTTAAAAATACTATAAAGGATATGGGCATAAAAAAAGTCTGTAGAAGCCTTTGTGGTTCCTTGTTAGTGTTCAGTGAAGGAATACTCATCTGTTTCCGTGACATCTATGAAGTAGTAACAAAGACACTGTAATAAGATGCTAAATAAAATTCTAATTATACTTTATGTATTATGTGCAATTCTTTTTATATTGTTAAAGTGTACAAACATAAATATAATATTTTTAATTGCAATATGAATCAACATGGAAAGAAGAATCAATCATCTGAAAAAAGAATCATAAGGATCTCGGGTATAAATCCACTTGTTTCATTAAACTTGTTTAGTTAACTGAAAAATTGTACAAATTCCATAAATGAAACCATATATATAAGTATCTTAAAGCAAGATAAGAATTGTGCAATTAAGGTTACCCAGTATCAATGCTACATATATATTTTAGGCTTACCTAGTGTCAATAATGATATAAATATATTTTTTCTCTCCAAGGTATGTGAATGCCAGAGAGGTAACAATCATTCCTATAAAAGAATCACAATTTAATGTGCTTACAAATTATGTATTAAATACAAAATTGCAAAAGTACAAAAATACAATATTTTTCACCAAAGTTGTTTAATTGCACACAATATATAAATTTATTAAGCATCTTATTAGTGTTTTTGTTGTTACTTTGTGTTCTTTACACACTATAATCCTTATGCTGGTCCTGACACCTACAGCAGTAAATACTTGTTCTGTGTGTTCATTTGCTACATTTATAACCTGCTTTCTGAATTTTCCCTTAACTGGAAAGGGTTTTTTTTTGGGGGGGGGGATATCCCTGTGAACTTGTGTGAGAAAATGTACTATTTATGAATTATGGATTACTCTTTAATTTTCCGTGAAACGTCTGAGCAGGAGAGAAGCTGTATCCCCTGCTGACTGTAAAAAAATTAAACAAGCAGTTGCTGATTCTTTTGTAACTAAAAGTATGAACAGGACTAGAATTTACAGAGACCATCTTTTTAGAAGCATTTAGGAACAGCCTGTCTACTCTTCGTTAGAAGCAATGTTCCCTCTAAGCTGTGAAGTCTTGTGGGGAAAAATTCTACTTTGTGAGCATTAAAGTTGTGAGTGAGCGATTTGGCTACTGCACAAATTAGCCTGCTCTGGAGCCCTCCTTCCTGAGCTAAGACAGAAATGTGTGAGCCAGAGGCTAAACTGTGAGCTAGCTCACACTAACTCAGCTTAGAGGGAACACTGGTTAGAAGTATTATTTTTCTGGTATTTTCCAATTCTTTCACTCTGTCCTTGAAAGTTAGGCTTCTTTGCTTGTCACTCCATTGAAAAGTCAAAGTGTTTGACATATCTGATTGGTAGACATCCCTTTGTCCCCCAAGCAGTGGCTTGACAAGGATTTTTGGTACAAAGCGGTGGCTCAAGTGATTAAGACGCTGAACTGCAGGCTGTGGAAGGTCGGTAGTTCAGCAGCTTGAGACCCGAGTGTGCCCATGATGGAGTGAGCTCCCGTCTCTAGTTCCAGCTCCTGCCAACCTAGCAGTTTGAAAGCAAGAAATTGCAAGTAGATAAATAGGTACCACTTCAGTGGGAAGGTAACAGCGTTCTGTGCGCCTTGGTGTTTAGTCATGCCGGCCACATGACCACGGAAACGTCTTCGGACAGCGCTGGCTCTTCGGCTTTGAAACGGAGATGAGCACCGTAACCCTAGAGTCGGATTTGACTGGCTTTACCTTTTACAAAGCACATTATTGTGGGGACCCCTGCACTCACACAGTGCTGGTCACTGTGTCAACTAATAACAGTTACACCAGAAGTTGCAAAGCCCTCCTTGCTATGTACTTTACTATTTTATACATTGTGGAGAATAAATTAACATGTTACAGAATATATCAATGTAACTAAACACTTTTACAGCATATGCTATGCATGAATTTGGCCAGCAAGCCTTCCCATTTTGGAAGTCAGCTGTACGCCTGTTTTGGTCCAGGGCAGCTCATGGTCACTTGATTGGGAGCTAGGGTCCTAGGTGGCCTGTTAGTGTGGGTTCTGCAAGAGATGCCTGACAGGGTCCCCCCAGGTCCACCAACTGATGTTCTGAGTCTTACCTCTGCTTTCTAAGGCAGCCAACATTACAGCCACTGCAGCCCCAGTAGTGGGGAAGACCTATCGCTGGACAGGAATGCAGACCGTACCAGGGGCGGCAGCTTCTTGGGATAAGGGGAGAGATTATACTAACAACACAAATCTAATACAACACCCGTGGGCTGTAAAAGCCTGCAACAGGGGCCCCACCTTAGCCCTGCAACAGCTGCCCTGTTTTGCCCCACATCCAGCCCTATTCAAAATGTGGCTCAATGGCCCAGCGAAGTTATCTCCAAACCTAGCTATTAGCTCCACAGACTGGCAGGACTGTCAACACAAGTTAAAAGTGTTTATTTTACTCGTTGTATGTGCTGGCTTGGGAGGGAAGACAGAACTGATTTAGTACTAGTTAGTTTGGTATCCATTCCAAAGGTGTATCCAAACACACTCTACTGTAAGACTTGTGTCACCAAAACTGTTCCTGAAGGACAATTCAAACTCCCCCATTGTCAATTCAGCATGAGCTGCCAACAATGACCAGTATTACGCAAGGTAATAAAGATTTGTTAAATCATTAATTAGACATCAACTTTTAAGATTCACCATTAAATAAAAGCATGATCCTTCCTCATCTCAGAAAATATTAATTACATTGATTTTAGATGACCATCTGATCTTTTCCTGATTAAGAGCTCTGGTAATGTTATCAGAAAACATCATTTGCTGGGATCTATTGTGTCCTTA